CTCTTAAGGGGTCACATCGCGTCAAACGAAGACGTCCAGATACCTGTCTCAACAAGTTGGACATTGCCAAGCAGACCGGGAGAACGTTCTTCCTGCCTCGTGCGGCTTCAAAGAGCAGTTCAGCAAGTCTAAGATAAACACCATGAAACCGCAATGACACATGCTAAATTGCTAGATGAACCAAAGGTAGGCTTCTTCCTCCACCGGAACCGGGGGATGCACGATCCGGCCGTGGCCAGAACGTGCCGAATTGGCACCGAGACATCGTGCGAGTGTGTGAGAACATCCCCATCGTGCTGGTGGGCAACAAGGCGGGTTGGCGCCGCTTCGGTCGTCGGCCGAAACGGAGTGGGCGAAACGGACTCGGGACCCCCAAAGAGAGTTCTGTGCTTTTGTTGTTTTTTTTAACGCGGCGAAGCGAGAAGATTCGGGCGGGTCGCACGCGGAAAGAAGGACGTGGTGAAGATCTGTGGGGGTTCGCGGAACTGCACCACAGAGCGACATTTCTCCACCAGACTGCCAGGTGGACGTGAAGGACCGCCAGGTGAAGGTGCGAGTCTGCTGACCCGGGGATAGGAGAAGCGAGGAGATGTGTGATGCTTGGGGATGGTTTGGGGAAGGGGGGAGGGAATAATGGATAGTTGTGCACCCCTAGACTTCCAAGGCCATTAAAAGGCAATTAAAACATGGTTGACCTGGTTTTGTATCGTAAATCCTTAGTAAAACAATGGTGGTTTGGTAAAGCCATGTAAAGCCTATAAAGAAAATTAAACATATATCATGGTGGTTGGAAGCGTAGGGGTACTGTCTGAAATGAGACCTTTTTTCATGTTTTGGTACAATGAACACATGTCGCCACGGCAAAAATCCCTTTGATGTCTTCATGCACGAGTTCTATTTCCTGTTGACACTAAGACTAAGAAGTGAGAGCGTGAGACCTGTCGAGGTCCGATGGTCCCGTGCCCGCACATCGAGTTTTGTCCTGATGCCTTTGACCGAGATTGATGACAAGAACATATAATACTGCATGAAACTTAGATGCATTAACGTAAATATAAGTAAAATACTGCATAAGTATATATACCCTAGGGATCCAAGTACCTCCTCAAAAGGTACTTGGACCCTCCTGGCACCCACCTCACCCCAGTCCCACCTTCGAAACGAGGGTACTTGGATCCTTAGGGATAAGCAAATACTGCATTGATACAAGCCAGCTTGAGGCGCGATTCGACTCTTGAACCTTCTATCTTGTTTGCTCGCCCGACAGGACGATTGAACAGTCAAAGCCATGAGATAGCGACACACAGCAAGACTTACATGGTGACATGGCGAGCCACACAACACCGCCCTGACTATGTCGTGCATTGTCCTACTTTGCCAGGCAAAGAACATCCAGTTTCACAGAAAGAGGAACTTGCAGTACTACGATCTCAGTGCCAGGAGTGCACTACCAGACTCGAGCCTGCACTTCTCTGCGTACTTGTTTGTGAACTGCTGGATTTTTGGTCTCAGGTGCTTCTGTTTCTAGAGTTAGTTGCTATCTGCGCGTCTCCGTCGGAAAACCAGCCTGGCAGCCGGGATCGATGAAGCCCGGGCGACGCACAGGAACCAGGGATGTGGCTCATGACCGGACAGACTTACTCGTACTGTTTGAGTACTTATATTCTTGATTCTGCATATATGATTATTTAGGAGTGGAACATGATACCCTCTTCTTGACCCGTAACCAAGTATGAATGCATTTTCCAGGAGCAACTACAACTTTGAGAAGCCCTTCTTGTGGCTTGAACCTCAGAAAAAGGCATGGGGTCGCATGTGCTCCAGGTCACTTCAACCGTGGCTCAACGTCGTCTCATGAACGGCAGAGAAGCATAGGGCAGAGAAGCTGCCTTAAAATTTTGAAGCACGAGGCTTCGACCAACATTCACCGGTTCCAACTCTTCGCATGAAACGGTTGGAAAATGGTCCAGATCCTCCGCTGTGGACCGCCCTGTGTCATGTACACTTCTGGCCCCCCCAAAAGCCAGTTGGTCCAGCTCGCTTTGAGAAGGTCTATACACTCCGCCCCGCCCAGTGGATTGGGTCCAACACGGACCAAGGCTGGCACGACGTTTGACCAATCAGGGCAACCTGCAGTTCGTGGGTCAATTCGCCAAGGTTCGTGACGTCAGTTCGGTCCGGGTCGCTTGGGGTCGGACGTTCGCGTGGCTGCCATGCGCCGTTGAACGGCTCGGACAACGGCCCTTCAGAACACCCGAAGCCGCGAAGGTGCGGTGAAGTGCATGCGGCGTAAGGCGTTTACTTCCTGTGAAGCCTAGCCTTTCTTAAAGGCACATAGGGACTGCCGGAACCCCAGCACATGGCTCCACCAATGAAGGACACACCTTTCCGAATTTCCCCCCCCATACTTCAAGAAGTGCACTTTTCCCACCCCTAGAAATGCACGGACCAAAATGCCGAACCCGAGTAATCGAACCTTCCAAACCGCCAGGCTCCTGAGATTCAGATTGATCAGTCGTTGATCGCACAGCACGAGAAGGTGCGCAGCGGTCTGGGTGTGTATCTTGGCAGCGGCATACGGATGTATCTCGGAGAAGATGGATGTGTATAGACATGAGAAGAGCTCACCAAAAGCCCTGTGAACAGGAAACTAGACTGACACCGGTTGGAGGGGCTCCCTATTCTAACAGTCTCAATATGGTTATTATATTTTTTACATTTTTTGCGGTTGGGATTTGGTCTGTCTTCAGAGGATTCATGGGGTGACAGTGTCATAGACTGGAGGAGGCTCCCCGCACTTTTGTTTCTTACGTTGCCTTACTTAGCTTTGATAGAATTTAGAGACCTGCAAGCCAGCTTGTGAGGTCCAGTCAGATCGAATGCAGGAAAAACCTGAAGGGAAACACATCACGTTTGCTTGCTCTTTTCAACTTGAAGCGAGGATGTTCAGTGCTTCTTTCTGTCATTTGACCAGCCATGTTGCTGGAGATCTTCCCTGACAGGAGCTACAGGAAGCTCAAAACGTGGCCATCAACGATGATGATGAGGCGACGAACGCGACGAAAGCGAAGGCTGCGGTGGCCACATCGCACCACCCGGGGGCCCAACACTTGGGGCATCGCAGGGTGCTGCGAAGGATGAGGCATCGCGCTACGACCGGTGGAGTTCTTGGAAAGGTCGGATGGAGTTCTTAGAGTCTGAGGCCGATTCAGTGGGGGCAATCTTTCCATCTGAAAGAGGATGCTCCTTGAAAAGAAGCCATTCGTTTATGACTGACGGTGCGAAAGCCTAGATCCTCATTCAACTAACTGACCACTCGACTGACTTGGCCATCCGCACTGCCGCGTCCAGGACCTGTAAGTGCGGAGGGCTTGACGGGCAGCCGGTCATGGCCTTCATTTTGCCAAAGCCACGGTCCCAGCGACCGGTCCGGTGTGGGCGTTCCGGTTCCGGTTCGGTGGATGTCCGAAGGAGAAGCTCTACATGTTCCAGTTTGGAGTGAACGGGTTGTAGTGAACGAGCACTGCGGAAGAAATGAAGAATTGGGGTTCAAGCGAAGACGGACGCACAACCTTGGATTGTGGTCAATCATTTCCTTTTCAACTTATCATTCTGGACTCTTTCTGGATCGGAGGACACCTTCGATTATAGACATATCATACGGTTTACTTTTTCATGGCATTCTACTCTTGTGGGCAGGGTTGTTATATATATATATATAAAATATGTCCCTGATTCACTTTGCTGTTTCTGGAGGGATGTAGGCATCAACTCAGCGAAAAAGAGGACAACTGTGGAGCAATTTGCCATGTGGGCCCAACTTTTCTTGGGAAACCAGAGAAGGGGTCCTCCTCCCCCAAAAAAGTCCAAGAAATCACCAGCCATGTTTCCATGTTTCATCCATGTTTCATCCAGCAATGACAGCCCCTTCGGCCCCTCCGACTGCAACAGTGACCAAGCAAGCCCGTTCCTGAGGTGATGAAACATCTGGCGATTCATCCCATGCCGCAACTGTGCAGGACAGGCGCGGTGAGGGTAGCACAGCTGCGGGGTGAAAAAGAGACCGCTGCCAGTCCGGCACTGCAGGTGTGTTGTTGTTTCCATGGGCGATATCCTGGATTGTGAGGAAGTCATCCGACGTAGATTGAGGATGAAGCATGGGGAGGGGTCAAAACCTGGAGCTGTGGTCCACCATGTAGCAAATGACCTTCCAGGCAGGTCAGCCAAGGTCGGTCTGGTCTTGATCCACAGGCACATGGGCAACGTATGCACATGTTCTGGTTCTTGTCGCCGTCCAATATTCTACGCACTGATGAAGTCTGAAGCACAGATGTTATGCAGTGCCTACCATCAACCGCATCATGCCAGACGTGGAACTTGCGGCCTGCAATATCCCAGACTTTGTTATCCACATGTGTGGCTCAACTGTTTGACTTGCTGGACAGGGTGTGTTCATTTTTCCATGGTACCCGTGTGCCATGTTCGTCACTTCTTCGTCACTGAAGCTTTTTTCTGCGCAACTAGAGTAGCTTTGCAGTCGTCGCCTGTGGATATCTCGCCTTGAACTTCTCCATTTCGTGGTCCCCAAATAGATGACCGTGGCGCGGCGTTTCACCAATACATTCTTAGTCCATGGGGATCTATATACTCACTTCTATCTAAATCGGGGACTTATTACTTATAAATGATCACCTCCAAGGGACCTGTGGTTTTTCACTGGCCCTCTGCAGCTCGGAGTTGAGACCCTGAGCCGAGTGTGGGCGACTCCGACTCTGTCGGACGGAGTCACAGTTGGTCGGACGGGTGGGGCAGAGCCGGATGGAGAAGAACGCGGGAGCGGTCGGAGCGGCCTTGGTGTTTTGTGCTCGATTCCATAGCATGTTGTAACATGAAAGAACCCCTCCTCTTCTGATTTCCAGAAGAAGAACATCCTTGTTCCATCTTGTTCCTTGACGTTGGTCATGCCCATCATCAGTCTCTAATGGCGTGGGGACAGCGCGATGATGGGGCGGCTGGCATTCTCGGCTTGCTTTGTGGCCGTGGTTTGTCGAGGCGAGGTTCCGGGCACTGGATTGGTTTCCGTACAGGCACTTGCACTGCTTTTCCCGCGGGTTTGCAGGGTGAGTTGGAAGATGTTGGAAGATGTTGTTCTCCAAGGCTTGATTGGGTGGGGGAAACGGGTCATGTACACACAAAAACCAGATGTCTTTGGATTGGGAGGCACAGACTGGAAGCTCGTTTGAGCAGCATCCACTGTGCAGACCCCGATGCATGTGTGTTACATCCAAATCGTGCTTCCTCTCAGGCCAACTGATGTTGCACGCTCCACCCGCGCTGCTGGAGCACTTCACAGAAAGCGCCAAGGTGGGTGCAGAAACCAAAGAGACCCGGTCACCGACGGCGTTCGGGACGACCCGTGGATCTCTACCTGATCAGCCTGTGTGCAACCTCTTGTTCGCTTGCAACGATCTCATACGAGCTCGACAATCCCTTGTTATTCCACGAAAAGGACGAGATCCGGAACCCCCCAAAAACATTTGTTCCGCCCAAACTTTGTTCCTTTGGGCCTGGGCCTTCAGCTGCAGGGAAATGGCTTTCCGCTCCAGGGCCTGGGCCTTGAGCTCCAGGGCCTTTTTTACTTTTTCTTTTTCCAGATCTTGAAACCAACATCTGGAGGCCCCACCTGTGACTGCTTCACGCATGGATCCGCCGGGCCGGGACCTCGCAGGTCTCCCGGGAGGAGCGGCAGGTGAGCTTCTACGGCACGTCGGCGGTGCTGGGCTGGCCGCGCTGGGGTGACGGATGTCAGGGCAGGTTGACCTTCTTGCAGGAGAGGGCAGGTTGACCTTGTGGAGAGGCGGCGAAGGGGGGGGAAAGTCGTATTCTGAAGGAGCGGGTGATGGGTTTTTTGACGCCAGGATTTGGAGGGATGCGATGGAGTGCTTTGAAAGTTGATTGCCAGTCAGGGATCTTTTTTCAGGTGGATTGACTGGGTGTTTGCGGCACTGAAGGATCCAAATATACATATTTGCCATCCGCTTGTCACTAAGTAGCGATGGTGTTACTAGTAGCTTCTAGCTCCCAAAGGGTCTTCCCGTTCGCCAACGACCCGCGTAGAGCGTGGGGGAGAGTGTCGAGTCTGACAGGCTCGAGTCGACGCGTGGTTGCATTCTTGAGGTCAATCCTCCGAGGAAGACATCGCATGGAAGTGGACCAGTCGTAAAGGATGTTTTTTCTGTTTTTTGACCGGGCCAGGCCATCCACTTCCATGTGATGTGTTCGTCAGAGCGTACTTGACTGGAACTTGGAGAGATGCAAATACTGGACTATTGCAGGGTCACTCACTGATCCAATGATCTCGCCAGTCTTCCTTTCTTGGGATGGGGACAGAAATTCTGTGTCCACATGGGCAAGTGTAGCAAGAAATGAAGATCGTCTTTGTGGCTTGCTCTGGCTCTTTACAGTAAATGAGCTCAAGTTGCTCTTTGGCTCCAGACATCTCTAGATTCGGCCACCACTCCTTTGCTCAGCTGCAATGCTGGCCTTCTCCCACGTTCATCCGGAGAGCGGCTCTGATCAAGAGCTGGTGCAGAATCGCGGCTGGCCGCATGTGAAGAAGACCTTCGGCATGGTTGGAGCTCTCTTGGTGGTCTTTGGGCTGGCTTCGATGCGCTTCTCCAACCAGTGCATCAATTTGAACAGCTTGCAGGGGAAAACCGAGCTGAATGTGGATGATGCAATCCTTAAGACCACAAAGAGATTGCTCAAAGTCAAGGATCGCAGTCTGGCAGAGAGCACTGTCTTGAAGGCCATGAAGCAAGCCGGGCACAATGCACAAAAGGACTGGGAGAAACATCACGTTCGCAAACTTGACACCCTTGCAGTTCTCAAAGGACGCCAAGCAATCAAGGACTTCCGCCGTGGACAGCATATCAAGGAAGCCGTGAATGTAGAATGTGCTTTCAACGTTCTGGAGGCTTTTCTTTCGGTCGTCGGCATGGGGGATGACATCAATGGCATCATCCGAACCTGCCCTCCACCTCGTGACGGCGAGTCCGAATTGGCTTGTCAAGTGGATTCATCCATGTTGGTGGCTTGGGTGGGAAATGCTGCTGCAAAAATCTCTTTGGCAGCTTCCAACTGCGCTTTGACCCTCAATGTGAACTCTGTGTGTGCAGCAGGGGTCAGCGGCTTGGTTTCTGCCCTTGGAGAGATTGCTGCTGGTGCTTGTTTGACTGGTGCTGCGTGCGCACCTACCCCTCCTTCGTTGAGTACAAGCCAAATCAGCGTCTTGGGCGACCATACTGCCCAAACCGGCCGCAGGCTTTTGATCGGCCAAGGACCTGTTGGCAATGGTGTGCAGTGTGGCGTAGATGTTGGCATGGTGGCTGCCAACATTGCAAACTTGGGACTTGCCATCAACAAAGCGGTGAATGTAGAACGCTGCGGCAAGTTTGCGACTGAAAAGTCTCCATTGAATGTCTTGAAGGGAATTCCTGATGCGCTTTGTGTGGTGGATATTGCAGGAGCAGTGGCATACATTGGTGAGGTTGTGACATTCATCAATCTGGTTGTGGTTCAGTGCCAAGACTTCCTGGATGCGAGTGCTCTTTGTGGGGTTTCCATTGCTGCTATTACCACAGGTGCTGCTGCCATCGCTGCATATGGAGGAGCAGTGCATGCCGCTTGCCGCTACAACCATTTGTTGAAGACTCCGAACCTTGGCCAGGATATTCTGAACTCAGCTTTGAATTTGAATTGTTCTTGGGTGTTTTGCTCCAGCCTCCAACAGGAAGGTTGCTATCACTTTACTTTTACTTCACTGAGTTCTTGATTCCTTTTCTGATGAGTAATTTTGTTTACAACTTGTTTCCACCGAAGTTCGGACAAATGCATGGTAGACATGAATAAAGTGATCAAAATACATGGGACAGTCCCCACATCAATGCTGTCAGATTTATTGGATATTCAAGGGGCCCAAATTAAGCTAGTGCTGCAGACGCGCCATAGCCATTGATTATCCCACTGCAGACTAACATGGATCCTGAGAATTGACTTGTTGTTCAGACCATTTTATTCTTTTTGGATGCAACGACGCAGCAAACGTTTCTAGAAGATGCTTCGTCGTGTTGGCTGCAGGGCTTCCGACCTCTCATGCTGTGGCTGACATTCCGACTTTCACTTTCATGAACTTGTCTGGACATATGGGGAAAGTTTTTCAGACACAGCTGACTTTGCAACTCTTTTGCCGCAATGTGAGATTCATAATAATAAAGGGGGGGTCAACCTCTCCATTTTCTTTTTGTATAACGGTTTTGTTTGGGAACCGTAATAATGGCAACTTCTGGAGGTCATTTCATTTGCTTTGATCTTGCTTTCGTTTGCTTTGATTTTGCTTTCATTTGCTTTCATTCTGCTTTCATCTGCTTTCATTTGCTTCAATTCTGCTTTCATTTGCTTTCATTATCCTTTTCATTAGCTTTCATTCTGCTTTCATTTTGCTTTAATTCTGCTTTCATTTTACTTCTGTTTGCTTTCATTCTTCTTTCATTTGTTTTTGTTCTGTTGTCATTTTGCTTTCATTCTGCTTTCATTTGCGTTCAGTTTGCTTTCATTGTGATTTCAATTGCTTTCATTCCGCTTTCATTTGCTTTCGTTTTGCTTTCATTTGCAAGAGAATGTTTAAAAGAGGAATGCAAAGGAACACATTTCTAAGCAAGCCAGGAGCCACACTGGTAGGGATCCTGGGCGCTTGTAAGGGGTACCCTTTGCTGTTGAAGTGAAGCTTTTCAAACACCTATGGTTTTGCAAGTTGGAATACTTAAGGGGCGGGGGACGTGTGATGTGGTTTTGGGAGGGGTCATGTTAAGGGTCGCAGGAGGAGCAAGCCGGTGGATGCCATGAGGTTCAAACTCATTTTCTCATCTCCTGTTGTTTGATGTGACTGCAAGGCTTGCCAGGATTTGCGAATCACTATGTAGACTTGACCAATGCATGCCATTTCCAGATCTGAAGGAGCTCGACGCCTCTGAAGGCCCACCAAAACAGAGGAGAGGAGGAGGCAGGACAGGAGACAGCAGGAGGACAGGAGACAGGAGCAGGACAGGAGGACAGCTTTGAATGAACAGGAAGTCCATGCTTTCACCGTACTCGGTCGCGCGCGCGCGCGCGCCACCCGCATGTCGGAAGCTGGGGTGGCGCACCATGAGGCGGAATCGCTACATTCTGCGCGCCAAGGGGGAATTGAACCACCACAGAGTTCCAAAACCCTGGGCGAAATGTCGTCACCATCTGGCCTTTTGTTTGATTGCCAAGCCCCAGGGCTATACATATACCAAACTAATCTTCAGGAACATGCCGGCCCCATTCCGCTCACGCTCACGTTCTTGGTCCTAGAACGGGGTCGGCGGATTTTGGACTCTTTTTTTGTTTTGCTTTCATTTGCCTACAGCTTGGTTTCACTTGCTTTCATGTTGAGTTGATTTGCTTTCATTTGTGAGTTAGAGTGCAAAAAGAATCTGCAGTCACTATTGTTGTCTGGAGCCTTTTCTTGGCATGATTGAAAACGCAGCTGGGTTTTATAAATCTGGATCTTGAGGTCTTATTAGGAATTTTGGATCAAAGCTACTACATCTATTTCCATCTGAATTTGCTGGAAACCTTTGAACTTTATGAATACGAATGACCTGTGTATGACGAATTAAGCATGAATCCAAATTTTTGATTAAGTGGAGGGGGCATCGTGGCGAAGGTTCTCAAGAAGAAGCCTAAGTCTAAGAGCCCGTCGTGCAAGAAGGACCGCAAGGATGAAAGACATGGTGATAAGAAGGCTAGAAAAGCAAGGAAAAGGAGAAAAGGAAACGCGAGAAGAGGAGCACGAAGAAGAAGAAGAAGAAGAAGAAGAAGAAGGAGAAGGAGAAGGAGAAGGAGAAGGAAAAGGAGAAGGAGAAGAGGAAGAGGAAGAGGAAGAGGAAGAGGAAGAGGAAGAGGAAGAGGGGGGAGGAAGAGGGGGGAGGAAGAGGAAGAGGAAGAGGAAGAGGAGAGCGGATTCTTTCTTGCTGAAGCCTGCCGATTCTTTCAGCTCTCCAGGTGCAGGTTCTGGCCCTATAGCATCAGGACCAGGGGGGTGCAACAACTCTTTCCCAACAAAGTTTTAGCTACGACGCAGCATTAAATCAGGGACGCTGGGCATCAGTCCGTGCGGCCACCGATTTCCCCTTAAGCTCCGCCAGAAAAGCCAACTCCTCAAAGTTCCAGGGTCGACCTGCATCATCCCGACGGGTTCACCCCTTTGCTGGGGACCCGGCGGTTCCAGCCCGAACCGGAGCGCAGTCAGGCCCCAAAACGGAACTGTTTCGAGAAAATAGGACGGTTCTGGAGTTAAGACCCCTCAGAGTAGGTCAGGCCACAATAGCCTTATTTTGACAAAACAGGTTGGTTCTGGAATTTAGAGGCCCTGGGCTAGGTTAGGCTACAGAGCGGCAATCTGTTCGCAAAATAGGTTGGCCGCTGTCCGGCCATGAAAGGTGTGGGACGCTGAACCCCAACCCGACCTCATTCAATATTTCCGTATTTGGGCGACCTAGCCCTCATTTCAGAGTTCAAATGACAACTTACGACCTAACAGCTTACAAACCATTGTAATTTCACTATATAGAAACACATATTATATGTAACACGTTGAATTTAATATCGCAACCCATGGCATTGGTAGTTTCTGTTGATGCAAGTTTTTTTGACAATACTGTTGATCTTCTATGCGCAAAACCATATTCTTGATTTGCCAGGAAGGCTGTGGCCAAGATCAACGAACTTCCTTTGCATAGACGCTTGGAAGAGGAGCAGCAAGCACCTGAAGAGAAACCTTCCTTGAAGGAGCCCAGTGAAAGCGAGGTGTTAAAATAGGAGCACTGAGAGGATGGCTGCGAAAGCCAGCCGATAGGCTAGGCCCACGGGGTTCGTCTATGGAGCTTTGAGACTGCAGGTGACCAAAACTAGTAACAAGGAGCTACTAGGCGGAGGCCATCGCTATCAGGTTGGAGGCCATCGCTACTAGACAAGAAGCTACTAGGTGGAGGCCATCGCTATTAGGTTGGAGGCCATCGCTACTAGACAAGAAGCTACGAGGCGGCGGTCATCGCCATTATGTTTCCAAAAGACACAAGCGGTACTGAATTACCGTTGGTGTGTTGACTCAATGACGACCAAGGGGGTGTGTCTGGGAGTCTGACTCAGGTGGTTTAAAGGGGCTTCCAAAAGCCGGTACCGAGATTTTGGTGTTTTATCTCAAGAACCACCAAGGGGGGGCTGACCAAAAGGGGTTTCCAAAAGACACAGCGGTACTGAGATTTGCCGTGAAACAGACATCGTCTCGCCACCGCGCATCCGGCTCACGTGTAAACATTCACAGGTTTTGTCACCCCCTTCTCGGGTTGTCGTCCGGGATTCGAGAGCTAAGATGTTCCTGACACTGGGCCAAGGCATCGCAAGTTTGGTTGACCACCTTAGATGAATTACATTAGGCCCAAACACTCCGTTGTCGTTGTCGTTGTTGTCGTCTTTGTCGTTGTCGTTGTTGTCGTTGTCGTCGTTGTTGTCGTTGTCGTTGTGGTTGTTGTTATTGTTGTTGTTGTTGTGGTTGTTGTTGTCGTTGTCGTTGTCGTCGTTGTGGTTGTTGTCGTCGTTGTGGTTGTTGTTGTTGTTGTCGTCGTTGTCGTTGTTGTGGTTGTGGTTGTTGTGGTTGTTGTGGTTGTTGTGGTTGGTTGTGGTTGTGGTTGTGGTTGTGGTTGTGGTTGTGGTTGTGGTTGTGGTTGTGGTTGTGGTTGTGGTTGTGG